GTCAAATATCCTGAAATATCCTGTATGTCACATTTATTTACCTTGCTTATTGACCACATTCCCCCAAAAAATAGAGACTCCATAGAGCAGAAGTATTTCAGCCTGCTTTGGTCACTGCCATATCCCCTATGCCCAGAAAAGTGTTAGCAGGTTGTGGATTCTTCAGAAATATTCTATGTGTCGGATGAGTGAATTAACAGGGCCCTGGGACTAAAAGGTAACTTACATGCTGACTTCAGGATCTAATCTCCCTACAAGACAGAGCTCTATTTTTTCCCTGTCTCTGGCTTTCACTATGAATTTTTTTTTAAATGTGGCTGTGCTCAGACTGTACCTAGCTTTGTACCAAACTTTCCTCACCTAAAATCTCTCTCTCTCTCTCTCTCTCTCCCTCTCTCCATATATATATATATATATATATAAATTATAGAAGTGTCTTAATTCATTCTCCATCCTAAGATACTACTTCATTAAAGAACATGTGGAAATGGTGCTGGCAATTTAAAAAGTAATAATTCATAGAACTTCCCTGATAAAACAGTCACCAGCATTTCAGCGACTTGCCTTGTAGGTCAGCATTTTTAGAGTGTAAGTTCAAATTGCAGTATGATAATACTTGAGTTAGAATTCTGCATACAGTGGTTTTGTTTTTTGTTTTGTTTTGTTTTTTTACAGGCTTGGAAATTTCACTGTCAAAACAATTTAAAGAGATAGATAAATGTTTCCTTAATCACTTCCTTATTTCTGTATATTGATTTAGATGGCTGTCAGCCTTTTTATTTTATAATGGTGCAGTAGACTTTTTTTTTTTTTTTTTTTTTTGGTACTGGACTGTGGAAAGCTTGGATTTCCTTAACTTGGATTAAGGAAATAACTTGTGAATGGCCTCACACTCCCCTACCACCCTGTGGTGATCCTTTCCTTTCCCTCTCCCCACCACTGATATAATTTATGGCTCTGGCTTCTTATTTGTTGGAAGCAGATCCCTGAAGGGGTGACCTCCCAGTGTCTTCAATTATTATTTTAAATGATGCCTTAGGCTACTGCCTGGCACAGCAGTGCCCTCACCTTCCCGCCTTCTGCCTTCCAAGCATGGAGCTCAGCTACCAAGCTGGCTGTGCCCCCTCCTGTCCTCAGAGCTGCCTCCAGAGTCCCAGCAGAGAGCCAGATTAACCCCTTTTGTTAGCAGAGGCAATTTGCCTGGGTTTAGCATTAATAAGGAGTGCCATAAGCAGTCGGGGTCAGAAAGAACATATCTGTCAAGCCCCAGGGTTAATTTAATAGCAATCTGTTGGCTGTCTAGGCTTTATATTAGCTGTGAATCCGATGCTGTGTTTTGCCTTTGCCATTTAGTTCTTTGGGACAACAGGGAAATAATTTGGATAGAGCACTCCAAAGGATAAGAGGAGAAAATTGACTGTCAGAATGCATCATTCCAGATCATACAGGGAGCCAGGCATTGCTCGCCTCCTTTCTGCCCGAGTCCCAACACAAAGGGCAAAACAACCCATGCTGACAACATATGTCTGCCTTTGCAGTAGCGTCATGGGAAAGGCCTGGGTTCCACGGATGCAGTCTGGAATTTCCTTCTCCCTTCCCCAGGAGCCATTTGAATTTCTGACAACTAGACTCTCATGCTTCTAGAACTCACCAAGCCCTCCATTAAAAAATAAGTCAGGACATCCTTGTCAGGTTTTTGTTCAATTTCTGGTTCAAAAAATAATTATTATTATAGAACATAAAACTTCTGGTTTTGAGAAATGTCACCAAAATGATAAGTGATGGGCCTAAAGCAGAAGAGATGGATCTGCCTTCCCAATGAGCCAGGTACTGACTCAAGAGGGTCAGATGCTTGGGAAGGCCACTCAACAGGGAGGCAGAGTGACATTGTAGTCTAGAACTCAGGCTCCTGAGTCTCACAAACTTGGGCTGAAAGCCCAGCTCTGCCCCCTATGACTAACATGACCTTAATGATTTAGCTTAGTCTTATCTTTGCTCAGCTATAAAATGGGGCTGTTGATAGTTGTGACCACGTGTGGCCAGGATGGGAGACAAGTAAGACAGCGTACGTGGTGTTTAGCGTGGGGCAGGCCCAGCACCTGGTAGACCTCACCTGATAGACCTCTCTATCAAGTTCCTGCTGGTTGATTCAATGTATTACTTTCCAAAATGTGGTATGTAGACCCCTGGTTATGATCTTCTGCCTTATCTTTAACATTGTGGTTGTTTAAAAAAAAAAAAAGGGAGAAGGGGTATGTAGATCATGGTTTATGCCCTGAGCTCCAGAGAATCCAACCCAATAAGTCAAAAGGGAGTCTCAGGCCTGGAAGGGAGAGAAGAGCCCAGAAGGCTGGGGGATGAAGGGTGGGTGAGGGCAGGCCTGGTGGTTCAGGATGTGTGGAAGGAAGGACCCAGAAGCATGACCTAATCAGATTCAGTGGGCACATCCCCATGAGAGTGCCCCTGGAGTGGAGGGACGTTGTCGGTGTCACGGGTGTGCTTCAGCACTTTGTTTTCACACATTCTGACTTTGGGGCTTTATTTTTAGGTGGCTGTAGCACCTACCCTTCCTCCACAGCGCAGAGCCTTCCAGTTCAGCTTGTTTTGGAGCACTGCTGGGAGAGGTTGAGAAAGCAGACACCAGATTTTCTTTCCCTATTTTGGAAAAAGAGAAACATGCTCACTGGCGCTGTAGGGTATCAAGGATCCTTCTGGAGGGCAATGAAATCTGACAGCAGCTGAACACTGTCCTCTGCTTTACCCTGTGCCATGTTCTGGCCACGGAGGTTAAGGCATGGGTCAGGGTGGCCAAGAGGACATCAGAGCCACCCCCTGCAGCCTCCTCTGAACAGCGCAGGCTTTTGCTCCCAGGAGCATGTACTAATTGCAGTAATATTTATGACTCTGGTAGAAATAGTTGAGTTAAAAGGTAGTAGTTTGTGAATCCAGGAGACCCACATGCCCTGGACACCCTGGTAATTTTTGCATCTGGGTTTGGCAGGGGAAACTGTAGCAAAATGTAATGTTAACTCAAGTCTCAAACTAATTTTAGAAAGGATGCAACAGGAAGTAGAGGAGATCATTGAAGGGGAGGAGGCACAGCCAAAACAAAAAGCCAGTGTTACAACAAATTGCATGTTGGAGTCATTCTCAGAGCAACACAGGTGACATTGACAGTAGGGGACTACTTTGTTGGGACTAAAAGTATCAGCACATTTGCTTGTCCTGTCTTGACTCTAAGATGGGGACTGTGCTCCTTGCTTAAAATGAAAAGCAGAGCTGACTCTCGTCCCTTCCTAGGATGGTCTGTATCACGTTACTGCTTGTTGATTCAGTGCATTACTTTCCAGAATGCAGTATGGACACTCCTGGCTCATGCATGGTTTCACTGTAATTGTTATACATTTATTTTTATGTGTTCTATTAAATATAAACCAGCTCATGGAACTCGTAACTTTATGAACGTTGGATTACTACTTAGATGAAATTGAGAAAAAGCAAGCCCACTGAGGGCTGGGATTGTGGCTCAGGGATAGAGTGAGCCCATTTAAAGATGAAGAAAACAATGTTAAGTAAAAAAATATTACCTGGGGCTGGGGTTGTAGCTCAGTGGTTGAGTGTTTCCCTGGCATGCATGAGGCACTGGGTTTGATCCTCAGCACCACAAAAATAAATAAATAAATAAATAGAATAAAGATATTGTGTCCATCTACAACTAAAAAAAATATTTTAAAAAAATATTATCTGATGATAAATAGATGGGGACAAAATCAGGGAGTGGTGGAATCTGGGAAAAGTGGGAATCATTTTAGTCAGCTTGGATGGGTAACGGGATCCATATCACAAGGCCAGATCCCTTGTAGGAGGTCAATGCATCAGTCTTCAGAACCTCAGCCCCAGCTAGGTGTCACCCAAGCCCTTGATAGGGGTGTGAAGGGATCTGTACAAACCCATTCCTTCACGCATGCTGGATACCCTCCAGAAGTGTTTGTCTCCAATGAATCACCTTCTTAAGCAGAAGGCTAAATGTTTCATTCCAACATAACAGGAATGAGGTCTTAAAAAAGTAGAGAGAAAATAATTCTTGATCAAGAAGAAAAATATTGAGGGGTGTAAAAAAAAAAAAAAAACCCAGATGATAAAACTAAAGAGTGTTTCATGGAGCCTAGATCTCACCCAACATGTATAAATGCCTTCTGATATTTAAACTCCCACCCAATCTCTAAAGCAAATCACAGTTTGGGGAGACTGGAAGGTCTGTGTATCTTAAATGAGAGAATGTTGCATAACTACGAAACAGCTCAGATTTTTATACTGGAATGAAGTCCTGGTATTGTCACTCACTGGCCAGGTATCCTGGAGGCAAGTTATTTTATATACTCAGAGCCTCCATTTCCACCCCTGAAAAACGAGTGTAAGAAATATGTCAATTAAAAAGTTTTGCAAGGATTAAGTGAGATAAAGTACATGATATGCTTTGCACAGTGAATGACCTATAGTGGGTGCTCAATAAATAGTAGCAGCTATTATTATCCACGTGGTAGTAAACAAGGTATCAGGAATGTCGTGAAAGAGGATTTGCAGTCTATTCTAGATACAACTCATCAGCCCAGAAGTCTGAGTAAGGAGTCAAATAAATTAGAATTTTTGGGACTAGTTTCTTAACTACTGTTATGTAAAGGAAATCAAGTCTTTGCCACTTGGCTTGCATGAGCAGGAAACTTTGGTTATGAATGGATGTTTTCTACAAGTCAGGAAACAGGAGTCCGGAGACCTGAGTTCTAATGCTACCTCTAACTACTGGGTAACCCTGAGCCTCTTTTCAGGTGCCTGAAACCAGTGGCACCTACTTGTTTGCTAACAGAGTCAGGAGGAAGGTCCACCTGGTGCCTGGTAAATGCTGCTGTGTTACACTCACGTAAGATGGTGCTATTGCTGATCCCCCTACCCCGAGATTCTGCCCACTTCTCCCGGTTCCCTCCTTGACTCGTCTGTGCCAGATATTGTGGACATTAAGCCAGCCAACATGGAGGAGCTCACAGAGGTGATCACGGCAGCTGAGTTCCACCCCCATCACTGCAACACTTTTGTGTACAGCAGCAGCAAAGGGACAATCCGGCTGTGCGACATGCGGGCATCAGCTCTGTGCGACCGGCACACCAAGTGTGAGTAGCACCTGGGGTGTGGGGGAGGGATGCAGAGTTCTGAAACGGTGTGTGTTGGCTTGGGGGGACAGGGAAGGTCTTTTATCTCATTCTACATACAGACTGGGAGTAAAGAGACCCAAGTGTTGGCCTGATTTGAAAGTCAACTTCCTGTTTGGTGTTTCAGTAAAGATAAAAACTCACGTTCAAAACATGCAGATGCAGAACCAGCCCCTGTTAGCAAGGGATTTAAGTAACATTGTGGCATGATCTAAATCGTGTGTTAAGATCTTTCTTGCTGGGTATGACACACACCTGTAATCCTAGCGGCTCAGGAGGCTGAGGCAAGAGGATCACAAGTTCAAAGCCAGCCTCAACAACTTAGCAAGGCTCTAAGCAACTCAGTGAGACCCTGTCTTTAAATAAAAGATTAAAGGGCTAGGGATGTAGCTCAGTGGTTAAGCACCCCTGGGTTCAATACCCAGTACAAAAGAGAGAGAGAGAGAGAGAGAGAGAGAGAGATAACTCTTGTTGCTTTTGAGAGAAAGGCCCCTCTAAGTGGTGGCCTGGACAAGGCGGTGATGTGGTCATGAACAACAGCAGAGACTTCTAGATAAATCTTGGCAACAGAGCTAAGAGTACCCGCTGGACTATGTGGGAGGCCAGGAATATACCAAGAGTCAAGAATGGTGTCTCAGCAAGGAGCTGGTGGCTCCTTGGAGAGGTTGAGGCTATGGGAACCAGCACTCTAGAAACCCCAGTAGTTCTAATGGACAGCAGAGAAAAGCTTCAGAGAGGGTGTTAGAGTGCAGCCCAGCACGCAGGTTGTCCTGAAGTTTTCAGGGCACTGACGGACCAAAGTAGATTCCAACTCTCTGGGAGCAGAATGCTTAAGAGCAAATGGCTAAGACCAGATGGAAGCAGACGGCTGACACCCACGGCCAGTGCTGGTAGGTAGGATGGGCCTGGAGCCAGCAGGGAGCATTTCTAGAAGAGCTGCTGCTCCCCAGGGTAGAGGCACCTGGAAGGCAGAGGAAATCCACGCCTGGCGAATGGCGTTGAGCTAAATAGCACGCAGCTGCCCAGGCGCTCAGAGCTCAACCCTCCACCCCCCACCTAGTGCCGCTGTCCCCTCCACTCTGCTGTGCAGAGTCAGGAGTGAAGGCCATCCTCCTCCCACGGTCCCCATCTTCAATTGCAGTTCTGTGACAGGGGTGGTCTGATGGTTCTCTGCAGAGGAGTGTGACCAGGAGGGAGATGGCTGTCTCCTGCTGCTTTGGGTGATTTTTGCTGGCTGTCTGGCGGAGGTTTTGCATGGAGGAGCCAGTGGGGGAGGGGGAGGGGGAGGGGGAGTTGTCTGTAAGCTTGTGGATTCTAGAGTCGCACAGACCCAGCCCAAGTCAGGCTTCCCTTCTTAAAAACCTCTTTGTCTACCTTCCCTTAACCTGTCTAAGCCCAGTTTTCTCATATATAAAATGGATAAGATAATCGTGATAGCACTTCATGCATTTGCCATGGCACTGAAATGAGATAAATGTCTTAAAAATTGCTAATGAGGTATCTTATATCCCATTTTGTTTTCATGCTAAGTCTTAAAAGTTGGCATGTGGGGTTTTTTTTTGTTTGTTTGTTTTTTGGTTTTGTTTTGTTTTTGGTTTTTTTACCAGTTGCTTCAATGCATAGATTGTGGCTACTATATTAGGGCAAATTTGGGTTGTTCCATCATTGAAGAAAATTCTGGAGAGTGCTGAGATATCCTTGAGAACATGGACTATTCTATCTTATTCACTTTGGCTTCACAGCACCTGCACAGTGCCTGGCCCAGAACAGGGGCTTAATAAATGCCGAGTTTGTGCTAATGTTGATCTTTGAACGGTATACTTTCATGAGCCCACGAGGAGGAAAGCATTCAATGCAGAAAGATCCACATGTGCAAAGGTCATGGAGCATAAAACGTGTTTGTGGAAGAGCCGAGTAATTGATATGACTAGGAGAAGAGAGTAGAGGCTCAGGAGGAATGCCTGAGCCAGGTCATAATGGCAGTGTTAACAACAATGACAAAACGGAATATTTTGGCCAAAACCAATAAATACCTATCAAAGCAAGCAGGGAAGTAATTTGATCAAAATTAGATTTTAGAGAAGTTATTTGGGTAGAAGGCAGAAAGATGCAGGTTGAATTCTGACTAGAAAAATAAAGAGACAAAGGTATGCGTTAAGAAGACATGGTAATCTCAGCAACTTGAGAGGCTGAGGCAAAAGGATCATAAGTTCAAGGTCAGCCTCAGCAACTTTGTGAGACTGTCTCAGAATTTTAAAAAGGGGGGCAGGGGGCACTGGGGTTGTAGCTCAGCGGTAGAGCACTCGCCCCTGCCAGGCCCTGGGTTTGATCCTCAGCACCACATAAAAATAAATAAATAAAATAAAGGTATTGTGTCCAACTGCAACTAAAAAAAAAAAGATAATAAATGAAATAAAAAGGACGAGGGATGTAGTTCAGTGGTACATCACCTCTGGGGCCAGGTATAGTGGCACATGCCTATAATCCCAGTGACTTGGGAGGCTGAGGCAAGAGGATCACAAGTTCAAAGCCAGTCTCAGCAACTTAGGGAGGCACTTATCAACTCAGTGAGACCCTGTCTCTAAATAAAATGTTTTAAAATGGCTGGGGATGTGGCTCAGTGGTCAAGCACCCCTGGGCTCAATCCCCAGTACCAAAGATGATTAATTACATAAATCATCTCGGGGTTTAATTCTCAGTACCAAGAAGAAGAGGAGCCAGGGGGAGGAGAGAAGGAGGGGAGGAGAAGAAGATACTGCACTGTTGAATTTTGGCTCTCATTCTTCACTGGGAGAGAAGGCTGTCCTATGCATTATGGGATTTAACAGCATCCCTGTCCTTAGCTACCAGAAGTCAGTACCACCAGTTCAGTTGTGACAGCAAAAAATGTCTCCAGACCTTTGTGGAGGAATTGCTCCCAGTTGAGAGCCACTGACTAGACCAAGATTCATTTGGTCAGAGCTTCTGCGTGATAGCCATGGATCTCTGATGTGCTTACTACTCTGAAGACTCTGACAGGGCCAGGAATGGGGCTCAGTAATAGAGGGCTTGCCTAGCGTGCCCAAGGCCTGGGTTCAATCCCTAGCAGCACTGGGGGGTAAAAAACAGACTAGTATAACAGAAAGGTAAGACTTATCTCTTATCCTCAAGAATTTAAAATCTGTCCAAGGAAAGAAGATATGCCCAGGAGACCTCTCGGGCAATGTGCAAGGCCGTGTGTGCTTTCATACCCACATGGATAGTGGAGACGATTCAGGTTTGGATGTTCAGAGGAAGGTGGGACGATTGAGACAGACCTCATGGGGATGGCAGAAGTGGAACAATTGAGTGTGGAAGTTCAAGTAGGATTTGATTCGGTACGGACAGGAAGAAGAGGGCTTTAGACTGTGGGTGCAGAATGAGCAAAACTCTGAAGTCACTAAGGACATGGAACTTCTAGACAGGAAGAAGTGTCAGCCTCGGGGGAAGGGGATGTCAGTTAATGAGGTCAAATAGGGATGCTGGTTCCTAGCAAGTTGGTCCTTGAAGATAAGAGTCAAAGTTTATGCTCTCACCAGCTTGTATCATCAGCAATTCAGGAGGCTGAGGCAGGAGGATCATGAGTTCAAAGTCAGTCTTGGCAAAAGTGAGGCACTAAGCAAGTCAGTGAGACCCTGTCTCTAAATAAAATACAAAACAGGGCTAGGGATGTGGCTCAGTGGTTGAGTGCCCCTGAGTTCAATCCCCAATATCCCACCCCTCAAAAAAAATTTTTTTTAATTTTATGCTCTGAGGTATTCTTTCATTCATTCATTGAGTACATACTTAATGCTGGCTCTTTATGGTAGTCAGCTTCTATTTTAGTCAGCTTTTTCACTGCTGTGACTAAAGACCTGACAAGAACAGTTTTAAAGGAGGAAAGGTTTATTCAGGGGCTCACGGTTTTAGAGGTCTCTGTCCATAGACAGCCAACTCCATTCTTCGGGGCTCAAGGGGAGGCAGAACATTATGGCAGAAGAACATGGCAGAAGAAAGCACCTCACATGGTGATCAGAGAGCTGAGAGAGAGAGATTTCACCAGCCAGATCAAAATACATACCCCAAAGTCACACCCCCAATGTCCCACCTCCTCCAGCCATACCCTGTCTACCTTCAGTTACCACTCAGTTAATACCATCAGGGGATTAATTCACTGATGGGGTGAGGTTCTCATAATCCAATCATTTCACCTCTGAATCTTGTTGCATTGTCTCATACATGAGATTCTGGGGGACACCTCACATCCAAACCATAACACCCTCCTTCTTAAACTTTTCCTCCAAGTATAGCTAGTTCCCCTAGGTCCAGGCCATAAGCCCTGCTATGGAAGAAGGGCTACTGTGTTCATTACCCAGTTTTCCACCTCTGTGGTTGCTGTGTGGACCTGACATCTCATCAAAGGCCAACATCAAATTCCTGACAAAGACCAGTGATCCAGGAGGAGGTGCTCCCCACACAGATTTTCTTTTAAGTCTTATTTTTGTACCTGAACTTTCATGTGAGGTGTGAATATTGCCCCCATCAAAATCTGCTTTCAAACTGGGCACAGTAGCATACTCCTGTAATCCCAGCAGCTCAGAGGCTGAGGCAGAAGGATCACAAGTTCAAAGCTAGCCTTAGCAAAAGCAAGGGCACTAAGCAACTCAGTGAGACCCTGTCTCTAAATAAAATACAAAACAGGGCTGGGGGGTGCAGCTCAGTGGCTGGGTGCCCCTGAGTTCAATCCCTGGTATCTACCCCCGCCAAAAAAAAAAAAAATATTTTCAATTTAATAATCCACCTACCTTTAAATTTCAAGCAAAATTGGTGTCTGAAAAATGCAGTATTTATCCTGTGGCTTCCTGTACTCCTGGTGCATCCCCCACGCCCTACTGCCTCTTTGACCCCAAGGATACAGACATGCGTGCCAGTGTGAGCACAGATCCTGTTATGTGGGGAGTGAT